TTCCTGAGCTGCAGCCCCGCGCCCCGGCGCCGGCCCGGTACTGCCCTGCTTTGCCGTGGCCCGTCTGGGGCAAAGCCAGGGCCTGCGCCTGGGCGGGAGGCCGTGGGGAGGGGATGGCCGCGCAGTGTGGCCTTGTCGCTGCGCCCAGAACCGGGGCTCTAAGGAGACCGGGCTCTGGTTGTGGGACAGTCGTGTTCCGTGTGACTGGGACTCCAGGTGGGCTCGGGATCTGCCTTGGTCCTTGCTCCGACCTGTGGCCTGTGCGGGCCCTGAGGCACTGAGGCCTCGCCAGGGTCCCCAGGCTGGCGGGCCGCCCTCCAGACGCCGGTCTCTGAGACCACACCAGACCCTCCAAGTTTTGGATGGTGATGTACCTGCCTGTGGATTCAGGTGTCCCTTCCAGGGAGTGCTGGGGCAAAAGCTAGTTTCTGTGGAAAGAATCGCCGGCTAGGTTAAGTGAAATGAGGTGTCAAGAATAATTCATTTTCAAAAGGAAAGAAATGTGTCGAGGAGGAGACGGCCCAAAACGTGAGCAGCGTTTACCTTTGCTCTTTTTTTTTCCCGTATATTTTTTCAACCAAAAAAAAATGTGATTTTTGCACTAAGAGAAAAACGAATCCAAGTAACAAGTGACGTTTGTTTATTTTTCGGTTGGTTGGTATTTTGTTGTTGTTTTAACTGTGGCTTCTGAAACCATAAGTTATGAAACTTTTCAACTGAAGTTCTCCAGTCTAAGAAGAGACAACAGGCATGTTTGTCGCTGGAGAAGATCGTAGCTTTGGGTGCTTAGTGTGGTCGGGTGCACACGACAGCAAGGTGTGCCCTGCCTCCTCCCTCTGCTGCTGGGCTTACCCCTCTGGCTGAGCAGGAGGCCCCCAGGCTACTCTCTTCCCTCTCTAGGGACTCACCTTTGGGTTTCTTTTCAGGGAGGCCTTCCTCTTGCCAAGGATTCACGTTGGTGGGGTCACAGTAGAACAAAACATTGCCTGATAATTTCTGAGGGTGAATAGCTGAGTCGAGAAGCTTCGAGCTCCAGCGTGCTGTCCTGTGACCTTCTGCCAAGACCCCTTGTTTTACAAAGCGGGCAGCCTGGCCGCACCTGCGGAGGAAAGGTGGCCAGAGCTGGGGACTGGCACAGAGGCTGGCGCCGGGTCTCCAGACACCTCCCACTGAAGCCACAAAAGAGCAAAGCCAGGAGGGAGGAGGCCCCAGGCCCCAGCCATGGCTGGGTGGGATGGTGGCTCACGGTGACTGTCACCAGCACCTTCTGTGTTTCTGTGCCTTGGAGGTGCCGGCAGCGCTCCCTGGCCTGCCTGGCAGTGCTCACGCTCCTTGCCAATGGCAAGCGGGCAGCAAGGCTGTGCGGTGTGGGCGCTGAGGGCGAGGGACTGTCTAGGGTGGGGGCAGGGGCGTCTTGGGCTGTGAGGGTACTGAGCTGCAGCCCTGGCCTCCACCTCCAGAGGCCAGTGGCATCCCCAGCTGTGACAGGCTGGGGTGACTCCAGACAGTGCCCCACATGCTCTGGGGGACAGACTTCTCCCCAAGGAGAGCTGTTTCAGAGGGTGTGCTTCCAGTGCTGGCGATCAGGGCAGCCTGGCTATGGTGGGGGCCCCTTCCGTGACCCTGGCAGCCTCCAGGCCGGCTCTCCCAGGCACTGGGTAGCCTGGCGTGGGTCCAGCGCTGCACGGGCTCAGTGTGGACACAGGCCTGCTCTCCGGCAGCAACTGAAGCAGCAGCGGGACCGGCTAAAGCAATACCAGAAGAGGATCACCCAGCAGCTGGAGCGGGAGCGGGAGGTCGCCCGGCAGCTCCTGCGCGACGGCAGGAAGGAGTGAGTGGGGCCGGGTGGGGCCGGGAGGCTGGAGCAGGGGTGGGGCCGGGAGGCCGCTCAGTGTCACCGCTCGGGTTCCCCTGCAGGCGGGCCAAGCTGCTGCTCAAGAAGAAGCGGTACCGGGAGCAGCTCCTGGACAAGACGGAAAACCAGATCACCAGCCTGGAGACCATGGTAGGCCCGGCTGCGGCCGGGGGCGTCTGTGGGCCCCACGGGGCTGAAGTGTGTCACCTTCCTTCCCTGGGCCCCTCAGCCAGAGCCCAAGGAGTGGGTCTAAGGAGGAGGGGAGACTCTTCGATGGGAACCTGGCCATCTTCAGGGGCTGGGGGCAGGTTGGCTCTTGCAGGCTCGGGGGCTCTTGGGGGGCTGGACCCCTTCTGGGTGGTGGGGTTGGGGGGTGGACAGGGTGGGTGGGGGTCTGCCCGGGTGATGGGAGAGGTGTCCCGAGCGGCCCAGCTCTAGGCCCAAGTCTAGTTCTGCTCTGTTGCTAACCAGAGCTGCTAGTAAGCAGTCGTGGTACTTTGAGATTCTTCCCGGGTCCTCTGAGGCCCACCAAGGCCCCTAGTGGTGCTCAGGGCAGCAGGAACGGACAAGGGGGAGGCTGGGGCAGAGATGGTCTGCCCTGAGACCCAGCGGTCTTCATGGGCGGTGGTCTCATCCTCAGTGCCGTTGCGGGGTCTGCGTGAGGAGGCAGAAGGCTGGCCCCTGACCACAGGGCTCTCCCCCTCAGGTCCAGAGTATTGAGTTCACCCAGATTGAAATGAAGGTGCTCGAGGGGCTGCAGGTCGGAAATGAGTGTCTGAATAAGATGCACCAGGTGAGTCTTGCAAGTCTGGGGGCAGAGAGGAGGGGAGCAGGCGGAACAAGGAGAAGGCTTGTCCCTGACGCCACCCCTGCACCCAGGCTGTCAGGTGCATGGGAAAGCCAGTCACTACCGGGAGAGGGTGACAGTCTGGTGGGACCAACAAACTCAGGAATGGTGGCCTGAGAATAGGGACCCAAACTATAATTTGGGTTCACAGATGCTAAAGTGACTGGAGGGAAAGTCTGCTTAGAATAGGGGAGGGTTGTGGTGAACTAATCTGGAGGACTTCCTGGAGGAGGTGAACCCAGCCTCCTCTCAGGAAGCAGAACGGAGGTGGGCAGTAGGAGGAGAGGTGAGGCCCAGAGAGGCCGTGGCAAAGCCCCCACCCCGTCTCGTTCCTGACGAGTGGGTGGCACACAGGGCCAGGCAGATCTGGGTTGCACTGCTTTTCTGAGTGTCCAGTGTGGTCTACCTGCCAGTCAGGCAAAGGTGCTACTTTGAACCCAAAAGAAATCAAGTCGCCTGGCCAGAGAACGTTTTTTGTGCTGTTTACTAGCACTAGGCTTGATTTGGGTGCCAGAAGGTCCAGTGAGAAGGGCCCGCAGGATCCAGGGAGGTCAGTTGAGGCTTCTGAAAAGACTAGTCTGACGGCTCCACAGCCTCTGTGGATGGGCCCTGCCTGGGACACAAGTGACCAAGGATGAGCCACGTCCCACTTGGCTTCATTCAGCAGAAACAGAGGGTCCGGGCCGTGTGCCCTGTTGGTCGGGGTGGCTTCCTGCAGGGGTTGATGCTTGTCGTGCTGACGCACTCCCGACTTGTAACTGACAGGTGATGTCCATAGAAGAGGTGGAGCGGATACTGGACGAGACCCAGGAGGCCGTGGAGTACCAGCGGGTAGGTGTTGCCGCGTCACTGGGACCCGCCTTCTGCCAGCCCAGGAGCTCGAGGGCCAACTTGCTGAGTGTCCAGCGCCACCCTCGAGGGCCAGGCCTCCCCACGCCACTGGGCGGCTGCCTTCTTTCTTTCGAGGAAGAGGAGCCTTGAGCCGGGGCCGTCTCCTTCCTCTGTGAGGGGCTAGCTTTCCCTGCCCCAGCCGGGCCGTGCGCCTCACCTCCGCTCCTCCTTTCACAGCAAATAGATGAGCTGTTGGCAGGAAGCTTCACGCAGGAGGACGAAGATGCCATCCTGGAGGAGCTGGATGCAATCACTCAGGTAACGGGACCCCGGGACTGACGCGGTCACTCGGGTGACGGGACCCCAGGACTGACGCGGTCACTCGGGTGACGGGCCACCTTACTTCTGGTTCACTTACTTACTGACTCAGTTCTTCTCAAAACCCAAGGGGCTTCTGGGTACCCTCTGGGAACCACAGACACACCCAGTGCTAGCACCCAAGGGGACCACAGCAGAGGTGCCCCTGTGGCCCCTGACCTGCATGGGTGCCTGTTTCAAAGCCCATGACCCCAAATCAGATGGAACTCTGGGCGGGGAGCCCCTCAGGGTCCAGGCTGTTGGGCGCAGCCAGCGTTCGTGGCCACCGCGCCCTTGGTGTTGGGAGTGGGAGGGATCCTGGCAGCCAGGGATGGCGCAGCCTTGGTTGGGTGCTGGAGGGTTCGTGTCCCACTGACATCCCGCTGAGAGCAGCTAAGCAAACAGGATGCCGTCGTCCCGAGAGAAGGACCATGGCGATTGCGTCTGACGGCCTTTACCCTGTTTCCTTCAGGAACAGATCGAGCTGCCAGAGGTTCCTTCGGAGCCTCTTCCCGAAAAGAAGCCAGGTACTGTCCTCGTCCTGTCCTTGGAGAGCAGTGAGTCCTAGAGGGTCCCGGCCGCGGGGTCCTGCCCTTCCTGCTCAGCGAGGGTCGTGTCCCATCGCCCACAGGTGCTGGGCCACGTGCTGGCACCAGCTTGGGAGCTCAGGCCGACGCGGGGCCTTACCCTGAGGTCGAGCCCAGCTTTCTGAGGGGTCTGGGGAACCTTGTGAGAGCCAAACCCATCTGGAGAGGCATGCCCTGAAGGTAGAGCCAGGAAAGGGCCCGTTTAGCCAGGCAGGCGCCCTCAGTGCAGCCAGGACCCGCCGTCCTCGGGCTGTCACAGGGACAGCTGTCCCGGGCGTCACTTACACGCGCCCTCAGAAGTTCTCCACGCCGATCGGTCCTCCGTGAGTCCCCTTGGCTCTCTCTGCTCCTCGCTGCCCCTCAGCCTCCTCTCCGGCCCAGGGGAGGGGCTGCTGTCCCATCTTGAGTGCGGCTCTGTTGCTGGCCCACCGGTGTCTGCGTGCAACTCGCCTCCCCGGAGCCGTGCCTGCCTTCTCAGAGCACGAAGGCCTGGGCCTGGCACCTTGCCGCCTCTGATCCTTCCTGGGGAATTTCGCCTGCAGGGTCTTGTTGCGCAACAGACGTGTCTGTGTTTCCTCCACAGAGAAAGTCCCCGTCAAGGCCGGGCCCAGGCAGGCGGAACTGGTGGCAGCCTCATAACACGGCCTCCTCACGTGGGACTCGCAGGGAATGCCGAGGACTGGGGCCCAGTGATTGGGCGTGCGGCCGGCCCTGACCGGGCTCCCAGGAGGCCGGCGCCATGCCGGCCGGCCGG